CTGTCTAATTGTTCTCCCATCTGCTTTGTTCTTCCATTCCCCTCTCCCTACTTGTATATTGCCCCCTCTCCAGCACCCAAACTATCCTGTGTCTAATTCCTGCCCTGTGCTGCACCTTCTCCTCCCTCCCCTCACCCACCCCCAACATCCGAACAATCAACAAAGAATCCCCCCCACACCCCTTTAGTATGGGTTCTTTCCCTTAGTCTTTTACAGGAGTGGTCCTATGCAGTATTTCTCTTTTTGTGCCTGACTAATTTCACTCAACATAATGCCCTCAAGGTTCATCCATGTTATGCGGTGGCTTGCAGCTTCCTTGTTGTTCTTCAAGGTAGCATAGTATTCCCTTGTGTGTATGTACAATGACATTTTAAAAACAGTTTTATTTTATATTAAGTTATATCTTTATGTTAAATGATAAAAGAATACATTAAATTATCCTCATAGCACTTGATTATTCATTGTTTTATCAAACTTCATCTATAATTTGTAGCATAGTGGTTATGAATCAAGCTGCTAAACTCATGGTCAGCAGTTCAAAACTACCAGCTGTTCTGTGGGAGAAAGATGAGGCTTTCTGCTGCCATAAAGATTTACAGCCTCGGAAACCCTGTCTAGGGTCGCTGTGAGTCGGAAGCGACTCCATGGCTTATAACCACCACCAAAGACTTACACATTTTTGGTTTCTCTGCACTCAAAAATGAAATTCTTTTTCTTTGAGAAAAAAATTAATATTTCTTGTGTGTAGTTTTTATTTTAAGAGTTCACATTATAGAATTTCAATGTAATTTTGCATGCAAATCTTTTTCTTAGTATATTAAAGAAGGTCACTGGCAAAGGGCCTAGTGATCCAGTACCACAGGCGATTTTGAAGAAAAGAGGAAATGGCGGTGGATGTGCTACAGCTCAGCTCAGGACAAAGAGTGCACCATCTAATCATGCTAAAACCCAAGGTAAAACTGAAATCGTACCAGGTTTCACGAGTCTTACTTACTTGTCTAAATTGAATAAACAAACTCTGATTTGGAGCTCCCATAGCAAGTAAGCAAAAGTCAATTTGAACTGCAAGGTAGGTGTTTTGAGCTCACCAGCTGTTTCTCGAAACCCTAGATAGGGTCACTATGCATCAAAACAGACTCGATGGCACTTAACAACAACAACAACAACATTTCTTAATATAGAGAAGATTTTATACTATTAATTTTCAGACGAGTATTTTAGTGTTTTGGGTTTACGTTTGGCTGTTTCTATGGCCTGTTATGGGAGACATAGTTGAGAGAGTCACTAGTTTATCTGATTTCTGGCCCTTTAACATACCATACCCATTTGTTGAAGGTTTCATTAACAATGATAGGAATTCCATTTGCAAAACCAGCACTGAAAATCTCTAAAAATATTAATAATAATAATGGTACAGTCTAGAAAGCACCAGAATCAGTACTGTGCCTGTTGTTTTTCTATGTTTTAAGAAAGAAAAGAGTACTGATCAGATTTTATAATATTGCTAAGCCTGTTGTTGTTAAGTGCTATCAAGTCATCCCGACTCACAGTGACCCTTGTGTAGGGCTTTCAAGGCTTTAAATCTTCCAGAGAGTAGAAAGCTTCATCTTTCTTGCACATAGTGACTGGTGGGCTTAAATTGTAAATCTTGTGGTTCGCAGTCCAGTGCTTATTATCGTATGGTGCCACCATGCTCCCTAGCTAAGTATAAGTAGTTGTAAAAATTAATTTGCTTTATACATTAAGCACCTAGGCAAGAGCAGTTTATAAAATCCTAAAAACAATTTTTGAGTCCAATTGTGAGTTAATACTAAAAATTATTTAAAATTAAAATAGAGAAAAATTATTCACTATTTAGTAATTAAGCTCAAATTAAGCATTTAAAAATATATAGTAATTCTGTTTGACAGATATGAATGCCCAAAATATCATCTGTAGGACTCTAACTAATACAAACAAAAGGATTCCCAGAATTAGCCCCTCTTTACTTCTAGTCACCAGTTAACCTTTCTACTGTATATCTAAGTTGTTATCCATAATGAAGGAGCCCTGTGGCATAACCAGGTAAGCACTCATCTGCTAACCAGAAGATTGGTAGTTCCAAACCCACCTAGAAGCTTTTTGGGAAAAAGACATGGTGATAGACTGTCATAAAGACTGCAGCCAAGAAAATCCTATTGGACAGTTCTGTTCTGTTACGTGGGATCATTATGAGCTGAAATCATGTGAATTGACAGCATTTAAGAAAAAACAACCATTTTAAAATGAGCTATAATAACAATGAATTGCTTATGAAAAGTAAATTACTTTTCTTAATGATTTCAACATCCCTGTCCATACCACTTCTCGGAAACCCTATACAGGGTTGCTATGAGTTGGAACCAACTTAACAGCACTTAACAACAACAATTTTGTATTTAGTTTGATTTCTTTTCTTTTGGCTATACAGAGCACATAGTCTTTTTGTCACCATTTTCTCTTTTGGGACAGGACAAACACATTTTCTAATTTCCTATGTATTTATGTAAATCTAATTCTGGCATAGGATTAAGACTTTTTACTAAGGCCTTGGAATAGTCTCCTACATTTTTAATAGAAAAATCTTTTCTTTTTAAGAATTTTATCATGCCCAAACACATTGTGGTTGAGTCACTTCTGACTCATAGCAACCCTGTAGAAAGCCTGGAGCTTCCCCATAGAGTTTCTAAGGCTATATTAGCAGGAGGAAAGCAGACTTCCACATTTTTCTCCTGCGCAGCATCTGGTAGGTCCAAACCGCTGACCTCTTGGTTAGCAGCCAAACCTTTAACCACTACGCCATCAGGGCTCATGGCTGCCTTGTCATTCACCCTAATCTGTAATTGACCATTTTATAATAGCATGTTTCCATTTCGTTATTTTCTTTTCTTTAGTAATTTAAAAACAAATACTGCATTTCATTCACAAACTGGAGTGTATATTGTATTTTTGAACTTTTTTTTCTTAGGATCTCAAGGGGAGTCACCACATTCACTGAAATCTTCAGTCTCTTCAAGACTATCTGAGGAGAATGTGACAACGTTGGACCACAGTGCAACTGCAGATAAACCAACATCTAAAAGAAAAACTGCCAAGCAGGCTCATACAACATTGCCTAAGATTACTGCCAAAATAGTGGCAATGCCTAAAAGCCTAACTCAGTCAAAGAAAGAGGAAGCATTGAATAATAAACATGCAAAACAGAAAATGCTTCCTGGACATATTACCTTGAAGACTCAGTCTCCTCAAAGACTTTTAAAAAGTGAAACATCTGTCCAAAAGCGTATGCTTCATGATGTACGTGATAATAATACCAAGGGCAGTGTTTCCGAACAAAAATCTCACAAACCTCTAATTCATCTCACAGCTGAAACCAATGGTGCAGAAGCCTCCTATTCCTCATGCAAACTGGACCTACAAAAGCCATTAAACAATCAAGAAAAAGAGAAATCGGTAATAGAATGCCAAAATATTTCAAAGCTGAATACATTAGTGAAACATGAACTGGAATCAAAACAGATTTGTTCAGATAAAAGTGAAACAAAATTTTCTGACCACAAAGAAATAGGTAATTGCCATACAGCTAAAATACATTCTCATTCAGATGGGAGTAGTAATACAGATTTAAAATTTCATAGTACTACTGCCCTGAAATCCATGATTTCAAATCCAAATGAAAACTCCTTGAACTGTAATCTAACTTGTGATTTACAGTCCACAAATAAAGAGCAAGTCCTTTTAATATCAGAGAAGGAAAACCAAATGGGGAAAAAAGATGCAAACCAAAAATCAACCATTAAATGTGTGAAAGATTTTTTACCTTATGTTCCTGAAAGGACAAATGCTACTGTAAGTTCCATTCATGATGACAGAAAATGCAAAATGCATGTAGAAGGACTGAGAATCCATAGTCAATTGTCTGATGGATTCCCTCTAAATAAAAACAAACATACTATAGCAGGTTCAGATATTTCCTCTAAATGTCTCTCAGGACAAATACCAGGAAAAAATTCTCCTAAAGCTATGGAAACCACAGAAACTCCAGAGAGCCATGAAACTTCCGAAGCACCATTCATCGGCCCCTGGAGTGTTCTGCATCAGAGAGAGAGTCCTGAATCTGATACTGGCAGTGCTACCACATCCTCTGATGACATAAAACCCAGATCTGAAGACTATGATGCCGGAGGATCTCAGGACGATGATGGCTCAAATGATCGAGGCATTTCTAAATGTGGTACTGTGCTATGCCATGATTTTCTTGGAAGAAGCAGCAGTGACACTAGTACTCCTGAAGAATTAAAAATATATGACAGTAACATAAGAATTGACGTAAAAATGAAAAAGCAAAGTAGTAGTGATCTTTTCCAAGTTAATTCTACAAGTGATGATGAGATTCCTAGGAAAAGGCCAGAAATGGGGTCTCGTTCTGTGGTAGCCTACCCCAGGGAGAAAGAAAATCCTCCACGAGGTGGTGTCCAGTGCACTCAGGAAATAGATCAAGTGTCTTCCTCAGCAGATGAAACAGAAGATGAAAGGTCTGAAACAGAAAATGTCACAGAAAGCTTTCTTACATCTAACCAAGCTTCTCAGCAGTTTCAGGGAATAATTAATTTAGCTTTTGAAGATGCAACTGAAAATGAAAGCCGTGAATTTTCTACCACTAAAAAATTTAAAAGATCAGTTTTACTTTCAGTAGATGAATGTGAAGAATTGGGATCTGATGAAGGGGAAGTTCACATTCCTTCCTTGCAGCCTTCAATAGATTCCCTTTCACCTTCTGATGTTTTTGATAGCATCTCTCATGAACACTATGGAAGGACCTGCCATTCCAGATACTTGCAAAAAAGTGAAAATCGCATTTTAGAATGTAAACAAGATACAGGCAATAGTGTATATAAAAATGAAAATACTCCCTCCAGTCTTGGTAACATTGATTCTTCAAAAAAAGATCAACAGAGTGCTTCGGCCATGGGAAAAAATAACACAATGGATGTTTTGTCCAAAGGAGGCAGACAGCTTATTCCAGAAGATTCCAAAGTAAACATTGGAAGTGATGCAAGTAATGACTTTCAGCAGCACAGTAGTCTTTCAGATAATGATGTCAAAAATCAAGAAAGACCGTGTCATTTGGAGCTTCATCAGAGGGATCCCAATTCTGACATACCAAAGAACAGTACTACAAAATCTATAGACTCCTGCCGGAGTCAAGTTCTGCCTCAGGAAGGTCAAGTGAAAGAGAGCCATCCCACAGCTCCCGAAAAAGCCAATATTGCTTTGTCTGCAGGTAATGTACAGAAATAGAAATGCTAAATCCATAAGAAATTGAGTTTATATAGGATTTTAAAGTTAGATCTAGCCGTGAATGTTATATTTTAGTTAGATAGGATAATGACTTATGCAACAGATTAGAATTTTAAATGAAAAATTTCTTAATATAAAAATCAACGAATTATTCTTTATTGTTCACCTAAAATCCTAGTGAAGAATACCTAGCTAAAAAAAAAAATTGATTGTCTACTAGACAGATCTAACCTAAGAGATTTTACATGAAAGAATAAAGAAAAGAACGTAGTCTCTTTTATTTAGTTATTTATATCTAATCTAACATAGGAATTCATAATTACTAGAAATTTTATTCCTCATTGGATATGATTTATGGGCCATGCTAGTACTGCTGGCATGCTCAGAGGGCTGTGCAATAACTATAGGAATATGTAACGAAAAGCACTGAACTATTTTAACAACTAGCTTAATTATTACAATTAATATACATTTTGCAGATATTAAGACTTTCAGGAGCATAATAATTATATGCTAAAATTTTCAAGTAAAAATTAAATTTCCTAAAAGAGATTATATTTAGAAGCAATGATATATGTGAAGAAAGAAAGCCCAGGCTTATTGCATATGTTTAGATGATTTCCTGTCTAATTGTTTTATGTGTTTGTCTTCCTTATTATAATAATTTGAGCCAATGACCCAAATTAAAATATGCAGTAGTGGCTGACTGAGTAGCTATTGTTTATCAGGACTGCAAGAAATATTGATCTATAGTCCCGGTTCAGCAAAATCAAAAGAGTAGGGAGATCTTCAAAAGTTGTAATTTTTTGTTTGTTTGTTTGTCCTTGCTTGCATCCTCCTTTGCATGTGCAATATACAATTAGCCTTTAGCTAAAATGTATTTATTTTGGAACTGACTTACTTTTAAAGTCACCATGAGATAGGCAACTCTTTTTTTTTTCTTCTTTTTTTTATTATAGTGAATTAGATATGTATGTGTATTCTGTGTTTATGTTTAAATAATTTTTTTTATGTTGCTTTCTGTATCACAAGTTTTCAAATTAAACTATGGAGGATTATTGTTAGTTGCCGACATGATTTTGCTGCTAAGCAATACCCTTAAGTTGTTTTTTTGACATAGAAAAAGAATTACTTCAAGAATCTCATTAATTTTGTGTAAATGTTATTTTTCCCATTCTATGCTTTTTGGATTATCACTGTTAATATTGTGTTAATATGTTCTACAAAACTCTGAGGGGTAAAAACATGTGCAATTTTTACATTGTATAGTATTATGAATTATTTCAGGAGACATAGATGATTGTGACACACTGGCACAAACCTGCTTGTATGACCATCGGCCTTCAAAAACCCTCTCTCCAATATATGAGATGGATGTAATAGAAGCTTTTGAGCAGAAAATGGAATCACAGTCACACTTTATGGACCTAGATTTTGAAGATGATCAACATTTTGCAAAACAAGACTGGACACTACTAAAGCAACTGCTCTCTGAAGAGGATTCAAACTTGAATATTAGAAATTCTGTTCCTGAAGACTTAAATCTAGCACAATACCTGATCAATCAGACACTACTTTTAGCACGAGACAGCTCAAAACCTCAGGGTAAAGCACATGTTGACACTTTGAACAGATGGAGTGAAATTACATCTCCATTTGATGATTCCTCATCAAGCATCACCATGGCTAGTTTTACCTCTGAAGATTGTTCACCCCAAGGGGAATGGACAATTCTGGAACTGGAAACTCAGCATTAAGAATATTAAATTGTTGGAAATTTTTAAACTATGCCACCCTTTTATTTTTTGATGCTTATATTATATCCACATGATAATTGCATTAGCCAGATATAGACTGTCCTTAATATTGAGGGAGTCTTTATGATTATGGTTTATTTATTAATATGATATCACATGTAGAAAAAGTGTTTTTCTAAAATTTTGAGCATGTTTTCTATGATTATTAGAGAAATTAGAAGACTTATAAGGAATCCCTAACTTCGGTTTTTCTTTCCTAACTGATCATTTGTTTACTTATTTATTATTCAAGAATTTAAAATGTGAATGCACAAGAAATCAGCCCCTTTAGGTTTTGCTGTGCATATGATAACATAGTAACTTAACAATAAAAACTTCCTGTGCTTGTGTCAGTTTATGTAGTGTTAATCTCTGAATAACCATACTCAGGTTGGAATGGTACCTTAGCTTTCCCAACAATTCAGGTCCAAAAAACTGTGGAGTAAACACACCACATCATTTCTAAATTCAAGAGAAGTAGAATCCTCTGTGCCTGTCTTTTTGGGATATATCCAGAGACAGACATCTGCCCTTAATTAAAAGAAGAAACTATCCATCTTTCTCACCAAGGTGGATCCCTTTAATCATTTTCTGAATCATTCTCCATTTTCCATTCCATATTAGGAATATTTTGGAACTGTGCCTGCAGTAAATATTCATTGGTAAGTGGGTAATAAAGCAATTGAAAAAGTTAGTAAGTTAAATTGTGTGTGTTTGTGTGTTTCCTTTCTCGGTGTGCCTGTACGCCCTAGTTCCTTATTTTCTTGATCAGATTATCTTTCAGTCTGTTATTTTGAAAGAAAGGCAAAGATTTTTTTTCAGTTTTTCATTCTTGAATGCTTTCTTCTTATACAATTAAATATAAAAAAAAAAGCTACTGCGTTTGATGTCACATCTACAAATAGTTAAAAGGGAAGGCATTTTGCTTAAGTAGCAACCTCTTAACGTCATTTTAGGACATATATGTGTAGGGTTTCCGAGGAGTTGCTGGTGGGTTTGAACTGCTAACATTGTGGTTCGCAGTCCACTGCTGATTCTACGGCGCCACAACAGGAGTCCATACCAGTAATAATCTATAGTTATATTAAATATCAACAATCACCTTAATATACTACCATTTGTTATTCTTCAAATAGAGTTTTGTTAGCCTTAGCAACTAACCTATTGTACCATAAAATTGCTATGTACATGTGTGGTGTGTTTTGTTTTTTTTTTAACTAGAAGCTAGTAAAAAAAATGAGGCGAGTACTCATTCATGCATACTGACATTCATTCATCCAGTTAAAAAAAAAAATGCATTGTTTCTAAGCACTTGTGTGTGAAGAAATAAGGGTTATTCCCTCTTCACCCCAGTCCCAAATGTTAGGTGTTTAATGAGGGAAAATGATGTAAAAAATTAATTAGAATCCAACATTATCATACTTTATGTTTTAGAGCTGAATAGGAATGTAGAGATTATTTATTTAGTCCCTTCAAATTTCAAATGATAGTTCTGAAGCCCAGAGGAGTTAAGAGATTATTCAAGATCCCACAGTTCATTTGTACATTAGAATCCTATAAGAATTCCAGTGCTATTTCTCCCGCAGGACAAAACATTTAATTTTTCCAAAACCTAAGCGCAGTAAATTTAAAGGTAATTTATAGTATAAATGAGTATTTTGTGATAGACTATACAACTTCCTAAGACATTGCGTTATTTTCTTCAAATGTGAAATGGTTTTAATTTGATGAACTTGACCTATACTTATGGATGTAGTAGCTCAAAATGCCAACTGAGAGGGAACGAGTCTTCACATCATGGATCAATCCTCTCCTCTCTATTTACAGGGTTAATAGAGACAGACAACTTAGACATTGGCTTTCTAAAATGGTGGTGGTGGGGGGCTATAAAGGCACGAAGTGACTGGCTTACACGTTTTTAAGAGGAAGTTTAGTTTCAGAGTGCAGGGGGAAGTAGAGTCCCCACTGAATAGTTTTCATCTTGTCTAGATGGGTCTGGTGAAAAGAGATGGGGATAAAATTCTTATGATTCAATAGTAATTGTTATAATTACTAATTGTGACAGTCACAGCTGTAAAAAGGGAGAAGTTTTGTAACAAAAACAGGGGAGTAGTTAATCGTACAGTCCAGGAACAGAGGACCCTAGGACCATCAAGGGAGAAGAGCATGAGCGGAATATGGGACCCTATCCAGAGAAGCAGCAACACCTGAGATGGAGACAGAGCTTACGGCATGGAGAAATAGAGCAGCTGAGGACTCTAGACCCATGAAAAGAGAAAGGCAGTGTGCTGGTGACCAGGTGCTGGTGGCTAGGAGGCCGGTTTGCAGAATGTACCCTTTGGTTGTTTAAATGATTATATATTCCTGAGTGTTTTTAAGTACACTCCCCACCCCACCCCCAAAAAACCCAGAGGAATAGAAACAAATACTGATGATAGATGATGCATGGAGGAGATTGTAATCATTGCAATGAAATGATGAGTGTAAAACCAATGTTCTCCCATGTATCACTCAATTTACAATAAAAAAGTGAAATTGTTTAAAATGCTATTTTTAATAAACTTCCTCATAGGTTCACAAATTTATCATTGAGACATTTCTTTTTTCAGTTTTAGCCTTGAATGCTTTCTTCTTGTAGAATTAAATATTAAAAAGCTATTCAGTTTCATATCACATCTACAAATATGTAAAAGGGAAGCATTTCACTAAAGTAAAATGACACTTACATCCTTTTAGGATGTACGGTGTTTTCACATCATGCACTTTTGTGAACCACACAGCTACTGGTGCAGGTGCTGTGGGATTCTTTAGGCTGAGGCTTTATCATTCAGCAACCATGTATGGAAAGTAATTGCTAACATTGCACTTGATATATGTTAGATGCTGTGTTAAATGCTTTAAATATGCATTGTTGTTTTTGTGTGCTGTGGAGTTGGTTCCGACTCATAGCGACCCTACACAGGGTTTCCAAGGCTGTAAATCTTTACAGGAGCAGAAAGCCTCATCTTTCTCCCGTGGAACAGCTGGTAGTTTTGAACTGCTGACCCTGAGGTTCACAGCCCGATTCGTAACCACTACGCTACCAGAGCTCCATATGCATTAGCATATTTAATTCTCAACAGTTCTATGAGAGGTTTTATCACCATTATTTTTCTCATGAGGCAACTGATGGAGAATCCTCACCTGGATGAGCTACACTAGTGGAAGAGACCAAAAAAATGCAGTATGCTAATGTTTGGTAAATTAACAGGTGTACCTAGTCATTTGTTAGGAGACGTAGAGGGAGACGCAACTAACAGCTTATCAGGAACAGAAGACTTGCTTAGAACCAAGAACAACAATATTCAGTTCTTGGTAGTTTCAGAATTTCTGGTGGGTTCAAACTGCCAACTGCTTAACATGAGGACTCTTGAAAGATGACTGCAATCTAGTTGGGAGTGTAGGCCAGGTGACTTGTCTTCAAGATTCCATCGAGTCTTGGCTTTAACTTAGAGTATATATGTTGCAGCTCAATAAAAATAGGAAAGTTTTTAAACAATTATTTTAATACGGGTTTCTTGGGGAAGACGGATGAAGATTATGGAGATTTTCTAAAACCCCTTATACCATGTCTTGGATCAACAGGGTAACTTCTGATTCTGGCTTTAAAGGGTAAGTAGGAACTTGTTTGGTGATCAGACATCCTAGACAGTACAGTACATTAGGAAATAGTGACTACAATGAATATTGAGGATGGGGAGGAAGAATAGTAGGAGATAAGTCTAAAAAGCTGAGCTGGAATTGGGTTCTAAAAGTTATTGGAGTGCTAACTACAGGGTTGGCAGTTCAAGCCCACCAGCTGCTCATTGGAAATCCAATACAAAGCCACTATGAGTCAGAACCGACTCGATGGCACATAAAAACAATGCTTAATTATGTAAATTGTCAAAATCCTGAATTTGAAAGACATGCTGTCTCCTTCCATTATGCATTCATTTATTTAATTTTAACTCTCTGTGGACAATCTAGTTCCTTGTTTTTGGTAAACAGGTACCTTCAGCTCAAAGGAGAGTCATCAAAATTTGGTGTGGGTCTTTGTTTTGTTTTCAGTAGTCGTTGTTAGGTGCCATCCAGTCGGTACAGACTCATATAGATCTTATGCACAACAGTGACCTTATGCAGAAGCACTACCTGTCCTGTGCCAACCTCACAGTTGTTGCTACGCTTGAGCCCATTGCTGCTGCCACCGTGCCAGTCTCTCATTGGGGATCTTCCTCTGTTTCACTGACCCTCCACTTTACCAAGCAGGATGTCCTTCTCCAGGGACTGGTCCCTCCTGATAATATGTCCTAAGTATGAAAGACAAAGTCTCACCATCCTGGTTTCTAAGGAGCATTCTGGCTGTACGTCTTCCAACACAGATTTGTTTGTTCTTTTGGCAGTCCATGGTACTTTTAATATTCTTCAAAGCCATAATTCAAATGCATCAATTCTTCTACGATCTTCCTTATTCACTGTCCAACTTTCATATGCATATGAGGTTATTGAAAATACCATGGCTTGGGTCAGGTGCACCTGAGTCTTCAAACTGACATGCCATGGTTTAAGTAGTTAAGTAGTATAAAGAGATTATTTTTAAAAGAACTGTCAGTAGTACAGAAGATGGCCTGGTTTGAAGAACAACCTGAAGCTCAGGATGTAATTAATTCTCACCATCTTAGAAATGGAGACTAAAGAAGGAGAATTGGGTAACAGACATTAGGTAGGTTAACTGATAACATCTTCAAAGACTTCAAAGATAACATTTTCCAAATACGATCAAGTTCACAGGTACTAGAAATTAAGACTTTAATATATCTTTTTTGGAAGCTATAATTTTAGTCCACAACAGCCCGAGGTTAGGAGAGTGATCATACTGGAGAAAGGTGGATCCTAATCCAATCACAGTATTGATTTTATGAAAGAGAAAAGACATCAGTTAG